TGCCAAGCAATCCTGGTTCATGCGAGAGTACATGCTTCTCTAGTAGCTCTACTTATACTACTGTCGACATGTCCAATGATAATAATTATCGAACATTACTTCGACTATTGCCACGTGTCACTACTGGACAGTGGACTTAGATCATCACGCGTCGCACGGGCGAGCGTTACTTAACTCTGTGGGTTTGAGCGGTTAGACTTAACCATAGCCCAAACGTCACATGGTGGTAGTGTAGGTTCGTGACGGTGACTCTTCTTGCTATGGTCAAAATGTGGATGGGAGCTGCAGTGGCTTCGACTTGGATAGCATTGTCAGCGTCGGACGAGGCAGATGCATCTAGGGAAGTCATGAAGTAGACTTTGCAACAGGCCTATTTGTCAAGTGTTAAGTGCATCGGTTGGGTGAAAGCATACATGTCGATCTAGGAGCGAAATTAGATAGACTGGGATGTGGCATGCGCAGTCAGCTAGTGTATTTTGAGAACGTGCTGAGCAGCTTTGTAGAAGTGCAATCCACGCTTTATTGGTTAGCTCAAGAATGAGTGTTGCGGGACCGTTACTATACTTAGAGTGCAGAACGACTATAGGTGTGCCGTACGCTAATACAATATACACCACGTGAATTCGAGCAACATGGTTGGCGCATCCGTGACTTCCATAGGCAGGTCGGTTTAAGGAGACATGCAGCCAGTGGGGCAAGTACGACGAAGCATTCTCCTTCTATTAGTATCTCAGACTTCAAAAAGTGTGAAAATATTTCACACGCGGGATCATTGGCTTTCAAGGTGTACGCATGGATTAAAGTGTCAGATTAGGTCCTTTGATCAAAACTCCGTCAGAGTTGTCAGATTTACCGTACAATTTGCGGTACGGCCTCCGGGGGGACCGGGTTAGAGGAAGTGGCTACATACACTAAACCAAAAGTACTCTGCCCGGTTGTCACTGTCAGTGAGTAACCCTAATGTCACTGGGAAATGACGTAGCCCTAACAAAACGCTGGTCGATTGCCAGGACCCGTTACAGGTTTGCAACATAACCCTAATATCCCAGTGAGAGCCCCAGTCACTGTCAATGTCAATGTCAGTGTCACTTGTCAGCGTCACTGTCACTGTCCTAACCACAGCCCATAACCACTGTCAGAGTCATGCCTCCGATGACTTCAGGTGTTTGAGTGTGCTTTACACCTATTTGGCGGGGCCGAGACACTAAAAAAAGGAGAATGCTTTGATGCTTTTGCGCCAGTGGGCACTTAAAGTGAACGATGGCGACGCGGGCATGATTGATTGTATGGATTCTGATCAAGACAGTGTCAGTTTATTTGGTTAGTAGTACGTACCTTACCCACAACTTACGGAATCGTCCCGATCTGATTGCAAGAGGCCGTACTCCATGGCTAGCTGGGGTAAAGATGAGCGTCAATAATCAGAATTTGCCGTACGTTATTGTCGTGCATGTCCTGTTGTGCTCCGAAACATCACGGTGAACCGCATGCTACAACGATACTGCGATCAGCTTTCGGCGGCTGTCGGCGTCTCATTATCTTTAAAGCGGATTGGAGACTATATTCAAAAACGTCTGTCGGGATCGTTCCGTCCCGTTTGCCTAGTTCCCTTCTATAGCCGCCCTTAGTTTACTGCCGTATATAGTTTTGCTGCCATCAGGGGTGCGGTCCGGCGGTCGGTCGGTCCGCCAGCCTGGTCCGGCTGCCCATAGGAAGCAACGGTGCGGTCTGGCTGTCGGTCGGTCCGCCTGGTCCGGCTGTCAGGAAGAGCCAGGGGTGCGGTCCGGCGGTCGGTCGGTCCGCCTGGTCCGGCTGCCCTTCAGAAGTAAGGGGTGCGGTCCGGCAGTAGGTCGGTCCGCCTGGTCCGGCTGCTCGGAGGCTGCCAAACGGTGCGGTCCGGCGGTCGGTCGGTCCGCCTGGTCCGACTGTCATGAGAAGCCAGGGGTGCGGTCCGGCGGTCGGTCGGTCCACCTGGTCCGGCTGCTCGGAGGCTGGCAAACGGTGCGGTCCGGCGTTCGGTCGGTCCGCCTGATCCGGCTGCTCGGAGGCTGCCAAATGGTGCGGTCCGGCGGTCGGTCGGTCTGGTTGCAGACCATTGCTTCAGATCGCAGAACGGAAACCCAGTGGGAGGGAGCGGAAAACTTAAAATCTCCCCTGTGGTCAAGATTAGCACGGCGGTAGAGGTGAAGTGACGTAGGTTCAGCATCCTCATTGCATCATATTATTCCGACCTCATGATTCCCATACAACTCTCATGGAAGCTCCTTACACGTAGCTTTTCTGATATGGGTGTTCAAAGTCTTGCGTGTGTCTTTGAAACAAGTTTTCAATCAGTTTGGCAACGTGTCCTCGCCACACGACGTCGTAGCTTCTTCAATTGAGCTTCTTCAGATCTGCATCGGTGGTGCTTGTTGCATGCGATCAGAACTTCAGAAATGCCATCGCTATTCAGACTGCATTTACCCCTCTTACAAGCTTTTGTTGTGAGCCATCATCGTTGTCGGGGTGCGTGAAGTCCGATGATGACACAGTCAATTCTGGCGACTGATTAACGGTTGTTTGCAAAAGGAGTCGATTGGACTAGAAGCATAGAGGCAAGTTTCTTGTTGAGTAAAGTTTGTCTTTCAGTGTTCACAACTGGCACGAATTATCTAGCCGGAATGGGGCCGCTGAAGACCGCTCTATATGCCAATTCAAAGGATCGTTTGCAGTCCGTCGTCTCACCTTCACAAGTAACCGAACCCAAACAGCTTTTTATGCGGGCTTTTAACATTCGGCCCAGGACCAGGCATATCCCGATTTGAATATGCCATACGCCAAGCCAATATTTAGGCGATATGCCATATGCTAGCAAAGTTTTGAAGCAATATGCCAATATGCCGCTGGCATATTTTGTGTAAAGAACAATAACCCTATAAAGGTTTGCTTTTTGGCGACGTCACGGCACCGAAACGTTGTAAACTAAAAGATATCTGGCAAACCCGAAGAATCGTGCGCCGCGTTACTTTCTTGTGCTTTGTGCAACTCTGAAAGCTTTGAAATATGCATTTGGAAAAATAATAGTACATTGATGATCTTTTATAGCCTTTGCTATAGCGGCCTGGGATTCTTCTTTCGCGGCTATCTTATGGGCATCCCATAAAGGTAGCCGCTGGCCAAATTGGCGAGCCGCCCGTCCGTCGACCCTAACAACAGGTACGCTTTCGAGCGTGCAGATTTGATAGCCGAGCAAAATCTTGCGGGTCTGTCAGGCTATGCACCTTAGCCCCGCGAAACAATTCGTAGATTATATCCTGACCCGATTAAAAGCTGCTAAAATCTGGTCCGCCTGAGTGCTTATACAGCTTATATGAACCTTCATAGGGTCGGAGATTTTGGAACTAATACGGGTCACCGATAGCCGTTTCGAAAGCCGTGACAAACATAGACTCCTATACTCAAACATATATTAGCTGCTATTCTTGGCATATTGGCATATTCTTGGAGCAGTATGCCAAATGCCTTTTCGCAAAATTCTGGGTTTGCTTTATGCCACGGCCCAAAAACCCTCGTAGACCATATGCCAATATGGGCCTGGACCTGGGCCGATAACATTGAAATGTCTTCTCACCCATCACTTGACCCGGTTTTGTAGGATCGAGCAGAAGCATCTTTGATGGTGAGAGTTAATCCATGACGCCTGATCGGTATTAAAGATTGGTAAGTGGAAGTTGCTTCAACATCAACCATAGTCTGCAAATTTGTTTTCGCCGGTGCACGGGGCAGTTATGGTGCTTTTCAGCCCGGGGGGAAATCGCGGCAGGTTCCGCGCGCAAACGTGCAAATATCGCACGAATAATTACTTGCCGGTGCGCCGTGCTCTCGCCAGTACTGCGCGCGAACTTTTGATCCGGCGCGCAGAATTGCCGGGGAAATGGGGCAAAATTCGGCCGAAACCGCGCCGGTTCCGGCGATTGCAATCTCTTAGGAAGTAGTTTCGTACCGACAACCTCCTGCTTTCAGCTTCGTAACATGCAGGCGAGAATGCCCGTAGTGTTACTGACGGGCGACAAACACTGCGAACTTCGACGAGTGTTCAGGCCAAATTGACAAAATTTCACTGCCCAGTAGGCTACGGACCTACAGTACCTATGGTAGTACCGTACGTACCTTTGCGCTAGCCTAGGCAGCTACGGTACCTACCGTAGCTGCCATAGTAGGTACTAGGGTACCTACGGTATGCGGCATCTCGATCCTTGGCACTTGCCAGTGGGTACCTCGCTACTAGGTACCTCGCTTCTAGGTACCATTTTGACGCGGGCCACAGGCAGTACCGTACCTACCTAATAGTACTAGGCAGTAGGTACCTAGTTCATATACCTATCATATACCTACCTAATTGAAATCTGGGGACCGTTGATTCACCGGGCGGCCCGTCAGTATGGGTACTAAAGTGTCTTGAGGAAGGTCCTCGGCGGGACGGATCTTGTAAGGTACGTACTCCCGTACGTACAGGCTCTGTTCTTAAATTCCTATGTTGGGACCCCCCTTCCGGCCTAGTGGAATGTGCCCCCACCTTCGACCCACCTGCGACATGATGGAACCGAAGTGTCAATTGACCATCTTCCCACGAAATTCAAGAAAAAGGGTGGTTCACCACCAAAGCTATTATAGAGAAGAATGGCTCAACTTTTTTGACAAAAGCTTAGGAGAATGCTTTGCAAATCTCAGCTTGTGTTGTCAACATCAAGATGGACCTACTGTAGAAGTTTCCCACATACATGTTTTTAAACCACCACCCAATAGTTACATATACGGCCGGGATGCCGGCCGTCCTCAGAACTTCAAGTCCGAAGTTCAAGTTATGGGCGCACACATC